TCTCAACGTAATTTCTCGAACCACCGAAATATAATTTTAAATCAAATCTCGTTTCTTAAAATCAAGATTTTATTGTATAAAATGTTGTACCAGAGTACTTATACAGAAAGATCAAACGATTCAATCTCTACAGGGTTGGATTATTTAATTTTAAACCTTCCAGATACATCGATAATATCTCGGAACAAATCCATTGTCAAGGGAAATTAAACGAGCGAATCAATGGTTACATACATACTACAGCATATTAACAACACAGTGTCATTTAATTATACATAAATGTATACAAAATTACAGAACAATCGAAAAGCGGAAAATGGCAAATATTTGCCGCACACTAATAAAACAACTACCACGGCAAGTTAAATAAAACTTAATGATGAAATTATTACCTACGTTTCAGTTATGTAAGAGTATTTTAATTACACATAATATTTTCATTGAAACGAAACGAATTATGAAATACATCATTATGAACTATAAATCTTAACTTTTGCGAGCTACAAGAAATAATTGTTGAATTTTTATTTTATTATGCAAAGAAACTCATTTTTATTCTTCAAATTATTGATTGTTTTGTTCGAAATAGGATTAATTATCATATTCAACTTCTGCTTCTTGATAAAAAATCCCAACAGTTTTCGTTCTTGTCAAAGCTTTTACGGGACAATATCCAAGTTTTTTTTATGTGTTTGATACCACACAGTCGATACCATCACAGTACAACTTAAACACGCTGTAATGCTGCGTAGGTTTGCATTTCCAGAAACCGTACTGATTGATCTAATTAATTAATCCAAAACCAAACGGCTTCATGTGTCGTCATCTTTGAGGTTACGGGTCCGATTCTTTATCAGGTTAATGTAGAAAATAAACTTTTGTGTCAATATCAATGTTTCTGAGTTTGCTTATACCTCAGTTGGTTCAGGGGTCCGTGATACAAGTGATTTAGCAGTTTTAAAAGTAGTCTTCGTACCTTCGTACCACACAAAAAATCGTTGCGACAGAAATTAGAATCACACTTCTCGATATTACTTTATAAATGATTGTTTTAAATATTGTAATAATTATTTTTGAGAAGTAACAAACGTTTTTGATGAATCATAATAAATACTATTTTATATTATACCACTTTATTGTGGCCACAATAAAAACAAATGTAAATTAACAGTCTTTGTAAGCCAGCGAATCGTAAACACAATATTGTTTCAAATTGAAAGATGTCGTTAAAATAATTTAAGTGCACTGCAGTAGGTAACACTCCAGTGTTTTAGTTACGTGAAAAATTTATTAGCAACCTGTTTAGGTTTTGCAACATTGCTGCGACTTATAACAAAGTTTCTACAAATAATGGCATCATAAATCAGCGTATTATTGTTATTACCTATTTACTGTTGTTTACTTTATAGTATTTCTATTTTATTTAGTATACCATCATATCGGGAAATATTTGGCACCGTTGCTACGCAACGTATGTTTCACTGTCTGCTATTGGGAACACATGATTCCCCGCGGCACACAACCCTTGTTTAGTAGAATCTACGATAATTTACATGACTTCATTATAATGACGTTATAAGTTCCATTTCTATTTTCCTCAGAATAAAAAGAGTTTCGAATATATTCTAAGACGAAATAGAATGTCGGTATGTACTTTTTGTAATAAGACTATGTTGACATTTTAATAACAAAACCAAGAATGTATCGTTATTTAGATTACGAAAAACCAGTTTCACGCGAAATAAGTGCTTAAAAAATTCAAAATTTACCTTGAAACTTGAATCCTGTTGGGATGGTGGATTTTTTTGCTTTTTTCATATTTATAAGTTCATTGGCATTGTTATTAAAATAATAAGAACAAATTTCAAACATAAAAGAAAAAGAAAATATTTTCAGAAATATTTCTTTCGGCTGTTTGGGTGGATTGTTGAAAATACATTGATGGAAACACTCTCACTAGTAAGGAAAAGTAACAAGAGTTAGGAAGTTATATTATATTTAATATAAAAATAACATTAAAGTATCAGATTATTTGACGTAATCTAATTATAATAGATTGCCTCCTCACGTGACAAGGGTCTGGAATTCAGACAGACTCAGAATCAGACAGTCAAAAGTCAACTATTCTGTAAAGGGCAGTAAAAACAACACCAAAGGCGTGGTAACGTGGCAATCATCCAGTGTGATATTAAAAGTGCACGTTAATAAATAGTACGATGTGGTGGTCCATTAATTAGTTGATTTACGTATTTGGCCCCGGTAGAGATTCACGTGTACATCCGGCAATTGCACATAATGACCTTAATGATTACAGTTAAAAGCGTCTACAGAAGCCAAGAGCTTGCGACTCGTGCTTTGTAATGGGATATGAACCTGCGTTCCCTTAAGCCCGAGCCAACCTGGGTGACATCGGTTCTCGTTTGCGTTCAGTCGCTCATTCTATTCAGATAAAAGGACTCGTGTTCCTGTTATTTTGGTTCATTATCGCGTATACTCTTGTGAAGTTCTTTTGAATTAATACAAAATAAATTTTTGAAATGGTGAGCTTTTTAATATTAGCAAGAGAATTTATACAGTTATTAGATAGAGTGATACTGTCCATTTATTTACTACATTAGTAATGTTCAAATAGTTTTTTTTTTTAATCAAACGTGAAGCTTAAAAGTTGTTATTGTGTTATTTGTGAGTGACACAATTAATTTTGTTTTGTGATTTCACAGGAGGAACTTGGGAAGGATCAAATCAATAGTGAGTAGCTATCATTATATTTATTTTACTATCTATGTTTTTAAGACAGTGTTTACAAATCTATATTCTCTTTTCTTATCTCATTAAAAATTCTCATAAACAGTAAAGTTATGAGGCTATATTAATTTAAAGTAAAAAAATATGATTACACGATCTCAGATTCATGATCAATTTGTTGTATATTTTTTATTCAGTCTAACGTCCTTATATTCACTTGCAAACGTTACACTTTAACTGGCAAGACCTCAAGTACAGAAGTCTTATTACTAAGATTTTATTTATTATCAATAATATTTCACAATTTATAAAATACATTTCCAGGCATATTACAAACCACCAAGATTTTAATCTATGTGCCATAGTTCGCTATATATATACCTTGTATATATTAAGGTATTACAATATTATTATTTGATCGTTGCGATCCAGCATACACAGAAGTAGTGTTTTTAATTTGTTTTTTATATTTTTTTCGTTAAGTGAGTCTCGAAACTCTTTATCTAACTTATATATTCGGGGTAACAAGTATTTCACAGTGCGAGTGCCATATGTGTTCTGCGCACTTGTTATTACTAGTTTTCCTCAAGTAATCGAACGCGTCAACTTTTCGTGTGCAACTGCTTTTTTTACAGACCCATTAAATATTCTTCCTTAAGAAACTGGTATATAAAGAGATCTTTGATAGATAGAAGTACTTTGCAATGTTTAAAAAGCTGAACGTAGTATGAAGCAAACCGCTGCCTGATATTAGGTGAAACTATATGTTTTAAATTCTTATTTGAAAACTATATTTTTTCTAAATAGGTTTTGTATGTTCGTCCGTAACTTGAAAGATCATAAATTATTATAGAATTAACAACAGCATTATACAGTGCCAACCTAGTCGTAAAAGTCATTAGTTTATATTTGCCAGAAAAGCACGTAGTTTACCGCATACACGCTGAACCTGCGGTCCCCAATTAAAAGCGTTATCGATAACTAATCCAAGGTATTTATGAGTATCTACTGTTTCAATCGGTGAACAATTACAGGACAATATCACGACTTTGATGATTATCTATCGACTTGAAAACTACTAAGTCACCTGATATTCCAATGGTAAATAAATATTTCTATAGTAAATTAATATTTCTTATTTATTTACTTAATATAATTGTTTTCATCAGGAGAAATAAATAACGCAAAAATATAATAAGACTAACAGCCAGTTGCACAAACGAACATTAAAATTGTCATTAGTTTAAAACGACATTATCCATACAAATTTTACATTCATTAGAGCTTAAAAGGGCCATTAAACCTTAATGGTTGTTTGTGCAACTGACCATAAATTTATTTAATGTCTGAGGTGACATAAATCCACAACAGCAAATCGTGCTCAATTTCATGGTGACGTGTTCAGAAGCACTATACCCTGTAAGTCCAGTCAGCTACACGCAATCTAGTCGGTTAAGTTTCATATCAGAGATTGAGTATTAAAGTAATTTTGCAAGAATGTTTTGTTACGTGTGACAAATTGCATTTTCTACTTATATAAAGTCCAAATTTTCAACTTGCTGTTGTCCTAAAACTTCGAACGCGTTAATTATGAAAGGCTGACTAAGCTTGAGAACTTGATTTTATTATATGTAATAAAAAGAAAAGGGTAAAGAAAAACCCTTTTTGGGTTTCCTGTAATATATAAACTTAGAAGATATTTCAAGAAGATAAGATAATTTTAGATTAACAATTTCTATTTTAAACTATAATAAGCTTATTATAAAAAAAAAAATATTTAAATTTATATGATTACATCAACATGTTCACACCACATGGTTTTTTTACGAACTGACATTCATAAAGAGCATATTGGATTAGTCAAAATTTCAAATTACGAAAGGTGAATAATAAAAAGAAAAACTTGGGACGAAATAAACGGTGGTACGGCACACCGTTATACCCGTAGGGGAAATAAATTTTAAAATCAGTCCAGTAGTTTCGGAGCTTATTCGATGTAAAAAACAAACAAACAAAATCTTTCTTTCTTAATTTTTTATAATATTAGTATAGATCTACTAATAAAATTGACATCGAAGTCCCAGGCAATGATTCAGAAAATTGATTCAATAGATGATATCAAGAGAAGTATTTTTTTATGATAAAAATGTACACATTTAAATATTGCGTCATCGAGAACTGCAAAACTACGCACTGAACTCATTTTATTCATATTTCACATGTGCATAATTGTGTACAACTCATTATAAGATGGGATGGCTTTTGTTTCAATTTTTCTCTATCAGCCTCAGCAATGCGTGGCTGTGTTAGGTCAGATAGTATGAATCATATAATCACTACATATATTAAAGCATTGGGTAGCGATATTTATTTACTCAATAGATTTTTTTATTCTATCAGTTCTGAAGAAAGCTTTTGAGGCGTTCGACCATGAGAAAAAGGGATGCATCGGTACTGTAATGGTGGGCACCATACTGGGAATGCTGGGACACCAGGTCACCGACGAAACTTTAAAGGAAATCATCGATGAGGTTGACGTTGATGGTAAATACACATCAAAACTTCATGAGTACTTTATCCAAACTCGGTGAATTAAGGCAAAATTTTAAGATAGTTTTTGCAAACGTTTTATTTTAATATTATTCGCTTCCATTAATATCAACAAGTGATGTATAACAAAACGCGTATGATCCGCGAGTACGGGATTGGGTTTAGCTCAATATTTGGCAAAAATTAAAATCTATTTCAATCCTTTTCAATTTGACATTTTAAGATTATTTACAAATGATATAACTTTTGCCATGTAATAGCTTACTTTACTTTTATTATACTTTTATTAAGATACTAATATAATGATATGGTTAATTTGATGGTAATTGGAGTTGTCTAAGATAAGCATTAGCCGCAAATATTACTTTAAATGTATCTTGATCATTCAAGTCACCATACGTTCCGAAAGCGAATGCAACTTTAAACGTTACGTTACGTAAATCGCTATCACAGTCAATATACTTTTTATAAGGATTATGATAGATTATGAAATAAGACAATAAGGCTACATATCAAACTTAAAATCAATCGCGTAAAGCCAGACAAACAAATATAAGGTAGACGACCCGATTTTAACCATTGAGAGAGTTTCAAGGCAGAGAACTTTGAGACTACATATAGTTGTCGACACTTGATTAGTTTTGCCATAAAGCCAGATTTTAATAAACATAATCAATGTAGGTATAATTCCCTAAATCAGGTTCTGGCGAATTGGAATTCGAGGAGTTCGTAACGCTGGCTTCGAGGTTCATGGTTGAAGAGGATGCAGAGGCGATGCAGCAAGAACTGAAAGAAGCATTCCGTTTATACGATAAAGAAGGTAAACAATACCAAAACTAATAATTTATTTCAATTCCTTATACATTCCAAATTACAGAAGAATAACAACTTCTAATTTAATTTTACACGGTATCACGCTAACAGCTGCAGAATAACATGGGCATGTTCTTGAAGATGGGTGTGATAATTATTCTATTGACACAATTATTGTTACAGCTGAGCATAGTTGAGTGTGGTTATATGATAAATAAAACTATATTATTAACTTTAAATGATAATAAACACTTTATTCATAGTAATTCTATTGCTATATGTTGAGTATATTCTCTAAATATCTGTTTAATTAACTCTGGGAGCTGATATGCTTTCTAAGCTGAATCTCTGGACAGCTGACAAATTAATGAATGAAATTTTTTTTTATTATTAATGTACAACATAACATGTGTATATTTTTGATGCTGTTGCTTCGTGTCGAATAAAATTGTTATAGATTTATAGCTTAACTGTAATTGTAAAATATAATAAAAATATAATCAATTCAATAGTATAAAACAAAAATCAAAATAAAAAGAATTAACCACTCAGGCCCCGGCGAGATTCGAACTCGCGATCTCCTGTTTACTAGACAGGCGCTTTAACCAACTAAGCCACGGCGCCCCCGAGAGGGGTGACGAAAACAAAAATACTAATACGCTAGTGCGAACGTACAGTCCATTGTCGTGTTATAGAGAATGGCTGCAAGTCTGACAATACAAGGTATTTTCAGTTTTAACTGTTTTTATTCAAATATAATGAAAAGTAAAGTAAAAGTACCTATTATATACGTCAATATAGAATTACATGTATAGAATAAATATACATATAAAAAAAATTTTTTTTTTACGATATTGATCGTAACGATTATTGAATTTAGTACAATTGCTTGGATTGATTAGATAATAATACGATAATAAAGCATTGTCATAATTTGTCCGAAACAATATATTAGTATTGTATAAATAATTCACATTATTTATAAGCATAAGTGCCATTCGACTTAGTCAATTTAATTACATAATTATAATATAACATTTGCATTTTTAAATAATTAGTTACATATGTTTAATAAGTATGTATAAATATAAGTAAATAATACTTTATAAAAATTTAGCAAGTGAAACATCTTATTTGTATCTCTAGTTATAAATTGAAAATCATAAGATATTAATGCAAATTTTATATTTATTATAACTGTAATTTACTATAACAAAATAAGTACAAAACTTATTTTTTATTTAAACAATTTTCGGGTGTATCTAATACCATTGCACGGAATTATTGAATAATATATATAATAATTTCTGACTTTTATGCTCTCTAGAGGGCGCTGTTGCCAATTTAATGTAACGGCTAACGTGTTTATAAAGTCAATTTGCTGTATAGACTCTCTCGGGTGTCGAACCCGGGTCTTCATAGATGACCACCACAAATAATATCATTTGTCTCATTCATACTTACGGAGTTTATTTCACAAAAAAAGTGATACATTATCCTAAACGATTAATGGAAGGGAAATTTATAACATGGGTCGGTAACCGGAACGCTTTGTGTGAAAAGACAAAAGGATTTCAAATGCTGCCTTCATTTCACAATTGACATGCAAAGAATGGTATTGTTGCCTAAATTATCCCTGGAACGTAGCAACCGCTCTATTATAAATGATTATAACACAATTTAAGTTTACACACTCATTTACGCAATTAACTCCGTTGATGAAGTTAAAAGATTATATTTTTTTGCTAATGAATAAACATTTTTAATGAATAAACATTAGTAGAATTTCAAACGATGATGGCAATAAGTTTTGATCTTAAAGAGCAGTTGGCGTCTAAGGGTCATAGCACACTTATACAGTATGGCTTATTAAAATACGATTTTATCAACAAATTTAAAAAATGGCTGATTTTAAATATATTGCAAACAGAGTAACTGTAATTAATAATGAAAAAAATACTACCACTATACTACAAAATTATACTATTAAATTAGGCACTAATTGAGTCATTTTAATTCTCGTAACTATACTTTTTTATGAAGATAATTTGTTATAATTCCTTATTTTTGTATTAATTTACCATAAACAAATTTTGAAGGCTCAATTTTACAAGTGTGTCCTTGTCTTCTTATTACATGTGGTCGTATGTCTTCTTCCTCAGGTAATGGTTACATCACCACAGGTGTGTTACGAGAGATCCTCAGAGAACTAGACGACAAGATCAGTGCCGAGGAACTGGACATGATGATCGAGGAGATTGACTCTGACGGCTCTGGCACCGTTGACTTTGATGGTATGTGCACGTGATAGGATCGGTCAGCGGATGTGTGACCAAAAATTAAGTATTTCGAGCTTAACAACGAGCCAAGCCAAAGGCTTAACATATCTTAAAACCCTTGGTCCCCGCTACATCGTAGTCCAATCTGCACTGGGCTTGTATGATGAGCTAGGCCCATTCCGTCTGTGTGATCCTATTTATAAGGAAGGTCTGTACTCCAAAAACGGATGATATTAGTTGAGGGTGACCATGTATGTGGCGGATGATTCAATGTCATTACCCAATAGGAACACACAGAAATTGAAATTGATTTATTTGTTTGAAATAGATAAAGTAACTTATTTAGTCACATTGCTCAGATAATTGTAAATAAATTGGACATATTTGATACTAATACACAGGTACTCTATGTATTATAGGAGCGAATCCACTATTAAATTTCATGTTTTTTTTATTGTGGACGAATACAGAAAACCGAAAACACGTTGGGCCAAAACAGTAAAAATGCGGCCAATCCCTCTAAACACGCAATAAATTTATTGGACAAATGCAGTGTTATTGATAAATGGCTACGTTGTCCTATATTTTTATTTAAAGTCGCTACTTAGAAGCAAAATGATAACTAATTTAAACAGATATTAAATAAAATTCCATACATCATTACTTTGGTACAATTAAAACAGTACAAATACCAATTACATGCACAATTATTGAGTTTTATTAAAACAGATTAGATTTTTTCGTTTAAATTTATTCATTAATCGAATTTATTATTAACATATTTAATTTTCTCTTTTACAGAATTCATGGAAGTAATGACCGGCGGTGACGACTAAATGCGAAGAGATCGACATTCAAATTATTTATAACGTACATTTTCCTTCCAACGGTTCGGAGATGAGGCTGTAATATTTATATAAATTACAATTAAGTTATAATTTATTATGTTAAACATAAGCTATTTATAATAAATCATTTGTTGTAAGTACAATCATAAAACTTTTGGTTATTTCTTATAACGTCATTCTGTTTCACTTCTAAAGGTAATTAAAAAATAATAAATCTATGAGATATATTCAACTATCAACTACCTACAGTAAAACGGAGGTATTTTTTTATTATAATAACCACAGTTAGTAAAATTAAATCATTTTAGTATTACACGACTATTTATTACTATTTCTGAGCTATTATAAACACAGTATATCTGTATAATAGGTTTACGTCATAATTTTGGCTAATTAACGTTTTTCATGAATTTTATTTTTTATATTTTTTATTGTTATAACGTTATATGTTTTGCGATATATTTTATTTTAGTCAACTAAATACGTTTATCCATCTGTATGAAAATATAGTAAAAATGAGAGTCTTCTATGAAAACTAAAAAATACCTATTCCATAGTTTAGTTGATAAATATTGCATTATAAGTGCAAAGCATAATAAATTAAAATAATTCACACTAAGATAAGACTCACCTTCTATGTTTAGATAGGAGAAAAATAAAAAAAGGAATACTGGTACCAAATAAAAACCGACAGAACAGTAGCGTTCCACCTAAGCAAAAAAATTGAATCTTATTTAGCTAAATGGCCCATACGGTTTCAAGATGACGTACGATGATATCAGGACGGATTACAAAATGAGCTTTTCTGTATCGTCTCTGGCTGTTGCGGTAACTTCGTTGATTTTCCTAGCTACTTAATTTCGGATCTGAAAATCTATCTGTGATGTTGATTGTACATTAACTAAAACAGTTTCCAAATGCAGCTAATCAGACTGTTTAATTACCTGCGTACCAAATCTCTACACAAATGTATACCACTAAATTAGACTACGTAATGAGAAGACATTTACTAAACGTCTATTTTGATACACATGTCTCATACACTAAATGACAATATGCAACGACATCTGTACTGGTACTAAATTATCACGCGGCGAATGTAAACCGATTATAAACTGTGCGAATGGACTATAAATATTATAAGCGAATAGAACGACAGCGGTGAGCAATAATGTAATAAACGGACAACTGTTTCAACCGTTTTCGAAATGACGTTTACGATTTACTGCGCTCTTAATTAACGCTAATAAAGTCAAACAACATTGTTATTTCGTCGGGGATTCCGATGGAACTGTTACATCATTATTTATCTTTACCTTGTTTATGTTTATCTTGTTAATAAATATTGATTTATAATGCAAATAAAAGAGTATGCAGTTTTGCTCTGGAATCTAAATAATGTTCATTTAGATTTATAAGCACAGCAGAGTGGAGCTAAAATGATTATTATATAATACCTGCGTGCAGTTAAAAAATGTTTTTTTTGTAAACTGAATCTAAAATTAAAGAAAAAAGTCATACACTGAAGCGTAGGGGAGGGGAGGAGGTCTAGGTAGGGCGCCAAACGAAGTTCTGCCCCGGTAAAAAGAACTATAGATTCTATTCGGCATATTTTTAAATTTATATTTGATTTCATGACGTTTCGGACCCTTTACAGTTTCCGTGTTCACTTAAGACATCTCGATCGACATCTTAGTTTTATTTAATGATTAGTGCGCGTAAATATAGTATTGTCAAACTTATATATACACACACAGGCACAATTAACCGCCCGCCTGTATCATTCATCACCCTGTTTGGACTATGGCTTATCAACTGTTTTGTTTTTTGTTAAGTAGGTACTTTAGCAACAAATAAAACACTTTTACTATTATTTTCTTTTCTAAATTTTTGTCACCGAAGGGTTTTCGGAATTAAGTCGTTGTTTTTCATTTTTTCTGTTATGTTACCGAGTTAACATTTCCTGTTATTTTCTGTCATAGTGGGCGAATATTTTTTAATTTGAAGTTGTAGTGTTTGCTCATTAAATATATTCCAAAAAATACCACTCGATGCAACTGATGTAGCTAGCGCAGTGCTTTTAGCTGATGCTGGGTGTAGCCAACGTCGCATCGCTCGCACACTCTGTGTCGAACCTGGAACTACGGTACGAGATGCCATCAGACGATTTCGGGAGACAGGCTTATACACCCGCAAGTCAGGTCAAGGCCGATATCGATGCACTTTGACTCGAGATGACCGTTTCGTTGTCACCAATGTGTTGAGAAATCGCTTTTCGACCGCTACTGAAGCTCGGACGCTTTTGTTTGAGGTGAGAAATGTCAGTGTTAGCGAACGTATCATTAGAATAACGATAGCAGAAAGTAATTTGAGGGCTTTTCGTCCAGCTCGCGCTCCGTAACTGCTCCCACAACACCGTAGAGTTACGCGCGAGATTATGCTGACTGGACTGTAGAAAAATGGTAGAACACACTGTTCTCAGATGAGAGCAGAATAGCCTTAAAAGGATCTGGACCTTTAAGGTTTCTAGCGTTTCCATAGGCTTAGAGAGGTTTGCTCCATGCGCTATAACTGAAATAGTAGGTTATTAGGGAGGGTACATAATTGTATGGGGAGGTATCTCTTATGAGGCTCGTACCGATCTTGTTCGATAGAGAAAGTGTAAACGCTCAAAGATAAGTGACAATTTCAGATTAATGCATGACAACGTACGTTGCCATAGCGCAAGATTTGTCAGTGAGTACCTTAATGAGGTCGGGATTCAAGTTTTACCATGGCCCGCATGCAGTCCCGATCTTAACCCAATAGAGCACATTTGGGACAACCTTAAAATATGCGTCCAAGCAAGAGTACCAGTCCCTACGACAATAGGAGAGCTAAAAACGGCTGCAGTATAGGAGTGGCACAATATCTGCTAATCGGATATTTAAGACATCATGGCTGAATTGACAAACAGGCTCTAAGAAATATAATGGCCAGAGGTGGCAACACCCACTATTGACTTTTATCTTTTCTTTTAATTGCCCCATTATTTAGAAAACTATTTTTTTTTTTAAATTTTCGTTGAAAATTTTCAAACAATAAATTTTTGGTAAACAAGAAAATTTTTAAAGAAAATGTCTTATTTCCGTTCCTTTCATAAAAATTTTAACATTCCTTTCATAAAATATGGTCTAAGTTTGGCGATTTCTGCGAATTGAATGAAATAGAAGGTGGGCGGTTAATTTTGCCTGTCAGTGTATTAATATTAATAATTACCTTCTTACGTATCACTCTATTTTGCGATAATTTACTTTTTAATTTGTCCCTAAAAAATTTAAAAAACAAGATAAGTTCACCAGCTTTCCTGTCGACTATATTGGTCGAGTTTCAGAGAAAACCAAGGTTCCGTTTCTCCTCGTGAGAAATCCTGAAAACTTAGACGATTCGCAAGTACTCGGAAAACTTATTTTGATAAAAATGGTTAATGTCACTTCTGTTAATTGTTAAGGAGATCAAGATTATGCAATAAAAGTGACTTATCATAATAGAAGTCTTTCAACAGAGGAAATAAATATCACTTCTGTATTCAAAATTGTGTTTGCGAAATTTCGTCTGGACAATATATCATTGAAACGCAATAAATTCTTGGTTGTGCCGTCGAGGGATTTAAGTGGAATTTTAATCAATGATCGATTAAGCGATGCTTTAGTTAGTCTTGATTGGCATCAAGTGAGAATAAGCATTTTCACGGCATAATAACGAATATCGAGTTCTATCTTTAATCATGTTCTATTTTTAATCTAAATTAAAGTTCGCCTGGCGAGCGACGAGGTCATTTGAGGCCCCTGTATAGGTTTATTCTGTGGGTATTCGCTCAATGGACCCATAGAGGCCATAAACCCAACAGTGTGCCCTCACAGGGGGGATGTAACTATTGAGTATCTTTATAAGTTACTATAGACTATTGAGTACTACAAGCATATATACTGTAATCAAGTCAGAAAATGGTAATCCCGTCTAGGTCTGGTGAAATATTTTAGTAGATTTTTCTATAAGATAAAGTGTGACCTAAAAATATAGAACTACAATAAAGTATCTACATACTACCTTCCTATTCCAAGAGAGATCAAAGTAACTGATTATCGCTTTGTAGAATAATAATCACCATCACAAACGTATTAAAGTCCCCGCTGCTGAGGTTCAAGTCTTCTCTATGGATGGAATCGACTAAAACCAAACAGGGGGAATGGACCATGACTCACCACGTGGACTCTATGCGGATTGGTCGGTGTAAACGAATACAGATACTGGGACCAACTGCTTAACGTGTCTTCTGAAGCACAGATGAGCTCGGGATAAAAAAAATTTGATCACCCATTAACGATCGACCTTGCAAAAGTTGCTTAACAACCCAATCGTACTAACCGGTGCACTATGGATTTCCTTAGAGTCCTAACAATATTAAAGTATCTAAATGAGTCTTCGGATAGACAAGAAAAACAGGCATCTCCAGATTTCGTCTGTTTGCAGTAAGTGCTCAACTTATAGAGATTCCCGATGAAAAACGGTTCATCGGGAATCAACTTTTCTTTCGTCACGAGTTTTCAATATATCTCAAAAATAAATTAAAAGCTATACCAGTTATTTTTTATTTGCCCTAACAAATCGCGTTTTTCACTACTCAGCCGCCTGACATAGACCGGAGCGAATTAATGACAGATCGAGAAAGTAATTTTTTGACATTTTCATAAAAATATATATTTTGTAATCAATTTAATTTCGTTTAATCTTGACGATTGTTTTAATCATTCACTCAGATACAAATGCCTTAACTTTAAGTTCAGACCTTTTTATTGATTGTTTGTATTTTATTTATAGGTTAAGCAAATCACTAAAAAGCTCCAAGCCGTACTTTCAATAAATTGGCAGAGTTTGATCAAACTGATTCAATTCATAGGAAGAAGTTTCGTATAAATAACTAGCTATTTTCCCGCGAGTTGTAAAATTATAGCCTATATATGATAGCTTCCCTTAGATGAAAGAATTTATCGTCGGATGAATATTTTCGAAGAAAATCCCCTATAAACAAACAAAGTATTATCTCTTTATGATATTATTATTGATAGGTATTATGGATTCTTCCAAATTAGTTTGTTCAAAATACATTACCTTTGCTTTGTGATATAACCAACCACAGAAATACATCAAGATTTATAAAAAAATATTTTTAAATTATATATTTCATTTTGTATTCAATCAACCGTATTCATATTTAAAAACGATCCAATAACTTACAACAACCCCTTTTAAATTAGGTACTGTTGCTGATGAGTATTTTTATCTCTTCGTTGTTTTATGTATAAAATATTGTAAATATAAATTAAAAAAGAAATATGATCAATAGAGGTGTCTAGACATGTCAATATCGAGATATAAGAGAGGTGATTTCATAAAAATATTGTTTATATATGAAGAGTGATTTTAACAGAGGGACCGTTAAATAATTTATATCGTAGGCCCGATAGCCCGATTTGGGCTATTCTAAAAGGCACGAGGAAGAACCGTAGAACCGAGAAACAACCGTATCGCAAACCGAACGCGATAACACTGTGCCAGCTACTCCAAGTCCAGTCCAATTAAAATATTATTGTGATACCAATATAAACATTATTCTCACTTGCAGTGCGATTCCGTAAATTTTTGGATTTGAATTGGTACTCGTATTAACGTTTCGTGGCATAAATGAGGTGAGTTTTAAAATGACGTAGGGATAGAATATCTGAGACACATATGAATCAATCTATATTGTTTTGTATTTGTATACAAACATGGAATCAATAGAATTTCCACACTAATGTGTAAATAATGAATAAATTAATGTTTAGCGGATTCACTTTCGAAGTGAATTCGAACACCTGAGTAAATTCGAATACGAGTTCAGATTTTTACAGAATCGCTCTACTGGTTTTTGAATTGAGAATTTAAAGTTAAGAACGTCTAAAAGTGTATTTAAACATGATCTGTTAATTGCTTAATACTTTTCTCAATTCAGAAACTGGCTGTTAGTGAGATTAAAATTTCTGATTACGAGTTGATTAATTACATAATATCAAAACGTATACGTAGAAAAATAAGGAATTAAAAGTTTCTTAAAACCAATAACACATAACAATAAGTACTACGAATTTTTATGTCTGATTATATATTATATCCATATCCTGTATCTCACTAGGCAGATGAAATTTACACAGATGATATATTTCTGTAAAATTGAAAACATACTATTAATAGTTTTTTACTTATTATATCCAATCCGAAGAAAGTAGTAAATAAGAAAATTTTAAACAACATAAACTGTAAAGATTTTCATATAATTCTACTAAATGATCCTGATATTTCAGTGCACTGTAAAACTATAAACTTATGGTAGTATTAGAAATATTAGGTATAAGTTTTTTTGACTGCAAGAAATAATTTTTAATATTTTTTAGTGGGTTACATCAAGTTTTTGAATTGAGAATTTAAGGTTTAAATTAAACCTCTCAAACCATACCTAAGCCATTTCAAACGTCATCTTGTTTCTGATTTTAATTTTTTAATGATCAGTCTATGGCAGTTCGATAAAATTAGAACTTTTTGCCATGCAAAACGTTTTTTTTTTAAGTTGTTGAGATTTTGTATTTTTCTCAATCCAGAAACCGGGAGTTATTCTCATATAAATGCTGTAAGAAATTATTAGTAAGCATGTATCCTACAATCGCATTCGTCATTATGGTTAGTGAACTATACAAATCTATATAACTATTTATATTTGTATCAAAATTTATAGCCGTTTTAAGCATCATTGCATCGTTTTATAAATAGTGTACTAAATTTGTCTGTGTCAATATCATTGGCTGTCACGTCTCAGATTCCTGCGAGATGGGATGGTCAACATTTAATTTTCTTTAATTAACGCTATTAATATGTGTTGATAAATTTATAATATCATTATGCTTTAAATAATTGGCATTTCATGCGCCATTTCAAAATATTAATTCATATGCTTGATATGTTTAATTACTCTTATGATTATATATTTGGTATTAGATGGCTCCGTAACCGAGAGTGGCTATACTAGAGATGTATTTTTGAACTATAATCGGTAGATGTTTGAAAATTCTATGGGTTATTATTGCCTAAGTATTTACTCCTACTCTACATTTTTACTATAGGTAATTGCTTCAAAATTTTCAAGAATACGTGTTGATAAGGAAATCATTGCAACCATAAAATCAATGTTAAAATTGAGCGGTAAAACGGAACCCTTCTTGTGCAAATCCACTCATCTATATTCATTCAATTGAACGAAATAATAGAGAGTAACGGCTTTAACTGAATGTTTTTAAGATTTTTAACCGTCAGATGATATAGATTAAGCAGTTACAATGAATATCGTTGCTATAAATATCCACAAGTTATTCTTAGAAATAAAAAAATAACTTTTTTATTTAATTGTTAAAAATTTTACTAAGGGCGTGCCATGAAATTACTATTTACCCCCTATAAGCACATATTCGTTATTATAATTGAACAAGCCGATGTTCTTGCGTCCTAGGAGGTACTGAGGGTAAATAAAACCGCGTCATAAACTGACCATAGTTTTATATTCCAAAAACAAAAAGTCTCTCTTACAAGGAAACTGACATTAGATATATACCTTTTTAAACAAAACATAACACCGCGATATTCTAAATGTACAGCTCCATCTTTTATTGAAAATAACAAATATATATGTCATAAATATCATTCACATAACCATAAATACATTATTTTATAAGCATTCTATTTGTGTTAATAATTAAGCTAAATAGATGCATAAACGGCTTATACAATAATCATTAAGTGCGAGAGTATTTAGATTTCATATAAGTCTTCCCTTTATGTCTAACTTATAGTAAACGTGTAATAAATTTAATTTGCTATAGATTAAATGGATGATGCCGAGGCGTATGTACCTAAAGCTTGGCGTATTAATTAATTCAACTGTATAATCAATTGCCAAAGCCTTCATGTAACATCTATACGAATATGAGTTAAATTTACCTAGATTGAAACAGATTGATTGAATTTATATTATATCTATAATAATGGTCTAACTTTCAAATAACAAAAGAGTTTTCAGTATTTTTTTATTTTAAATCCATACTATGGCGTATCGGTTAGGGCTCTCGGACTAAGAATGGGTGACCAAAAATTTATTATCTCGAGCTCTGTGCTTCATAAGGCACGGATGGTAAGCCGGTTGTCCCGGCTGTATTTGCAGTCGTTAGCACACACCAACTATTATACTTATTAGTTTTGAGTCGATTTCATCCATAGGGCCACCTAAGCTCCAGCAGTGAAGACGGCAGCAAGCTTGTCATTACGACTATTCTACAAAAAGATAATGGCAGGTAAGAGATATTTATTTATCTTATTTTTATCTCTCTCGAAATAGGTTAGGTAATAAAATATAATACTCAACTTATAAATAAAGTTAATTATTATATTTGCTCAATTTGCATTCACAATGCTATACTGAATAATATTCTTAACTAAAAATGCTTAAAATCAACTTAAAAAGTGCATGTTAAAATTTTAAGATTGGAACATTATCGTTTTTCTCCACATAATACTTTTTATAGAAATTACATAGATATATTTATAGAAATAAGTTATTTTTGTATGTGCGAATGTAAAATGCTCTAACCTTAAAAAGAAACTGAAGATTAATAATATTGGTTTAAAATATGTCGATTGAAACAGGAATTCGATGATTAATTTCCAGAAACAACAGAATTCATTAGGCTTTGTGTTAGAACGAAGTCAAAAGTATCTTGATATTCTTATATGCGCATTTATATTTATAGTCGTAGTAATGAAAGTTGTTACGTTTTATTATGCAACTAATTTAATGCGATATGTATATTAGAGATTTTTTGTAATATATATAACATTTACTAAATTAGTGTAATAAATTTATTTTGTTAAATATTTATAAGTTAAAATGGTCCATATTTTCCCAACATATAACAAAAACAACAACTCTATTACTATATTGCCACCAGCGACTGCGTCCGCATGTATTACATAATTATTTTCAACACACACACAGGTATTTAAAAATTAAGTTTGATTTGCCTAACATTGTATCAGATAGACTTTCATCGTAAATACTAATATATCTAATGGGTCAACTTCAATTCAATAGCTTACGCTCGTGATGACGAATCAGTCAAACCTAGTCGCAAAAACCTCCATTAAAACGACATACGATCAGTTGCACAAACAACTATTAAGATTTAATAACAACTTTAACCACTATTTAATGATTTAAATTTGAAAATATATGTATCGATAAAGTCGCTTTAAACTATTTAACGTTAATTTCAACTGCTTAGTTACTGATACAAATTTTCAATTAGGATAAGGATTCATTGCATTTCAGCACGAAGTTTCATGTTTGTTTATTTTAAAAATGAAAAGTAATATCTCTAATTAATTACTAATTAATATTATATTTTTAAGTCTAAGACTGAAATAAATCTCCTCTTATTGGATTAAAGTTATTGATTTTTTTATCTAACGGTCAATTAATAATCTTTTTTGTCTGTTTAAAACAATCTTAAACTACATATATTGCGATCTTATAATAACACGATATTCAAATTTTAAAATTACCTCGGTAAATGTTGACTACCCCTGAAAATTCTATCTAGCCGGAAAACATCGAACTAGTGACATATAAAACGGCCTAGATCCAGAAAGGGCAATCAAAGTGTGCTTATATGCAAGACTGATTGTCAGTAAATTAAAAGTTTTGGTGTTGACTTAATTTATCGACAAAAATGGTTGGTGTTATATAAATTTTAAAAAAAGTTAAATGTTTTATTTATATTTGAACTTAAAGAAATTATGTGTGAAATATTTTAGACAAGTGTTAATTTTTGTGCTATTAATTAATTTAATAATAATGTTGGGTTTGTTAATTTTAAATTTCTTTTACATGTACGGTGTGCAGGAGGAACTGGACAAAAACCAAATTCAACGTAAGTAACTCTTAACCTTTTATATAATTTTTATTTTTTACTTATTTAAATAAAAAAAAACGGTTTTTTGAATAATTTACACGACATCTTTATAAATCTTGAATACTCTAGATATAATAATCGATTAATTTGTATCGATTGCGATTTATTGACAAAACATGTTTGCTTTTTAAGTTTTGAAGAATGCGTTCGATGCTTTCGATCGCGAGAAGAAAGGTGTCATCGGCACTGACATGATCGGAACAATCTTGGAGATGTTGGGTCACGAGCTGGACGAGGACACCCTCAAAGAAATCATCGATGAAGTCGACCAAGACGGTAAGGCCGTTATGTTATAATACTGGTTAACCCTACAAATGTTATAATGTTCCGCAAGATAACCCTTTTTGGATGGACCCACACCGAAGTTTGGGTTGGGGCTTTTAAGTGACAGAATTTCTCTGGCTTTAATAAAACCGAAAACCAATATAATAGTAATAAAAATCATGAAAAAAATGTGCATATAAAAAAAGCAATAAAAATTTCTCAAAAAATGCTTTGTTTTTAATAAAATACCAATACTGAAAAATATTATTTATTTATTATTAGTCCATAATATAACAACATATAATTGTATTTAAAGTGTTATCATGTTTTCAAAGGTAATGTGGTATTGATGTTAATAAATTCATACAATAATAATTACGTTATAATTAGTGACAACTGAGAATGTACGTGTTATAACAATAATGTCGCACAAAATATAAATCAGATATGTAGGAGAGATCAATAAAAAAGATAAACAAATAAAAAAAAAGATTTTATAGGATTTTTTTTCAGCAATACATGCATTTAAGTTTTCAGCGCCATCTATTGTAACTAGAGAAGTTTAGTCACACGTCACTGTATACTTTTTACTAACATCGAAACTTAGTTTCTATATTGTGTGCTAGATGGTGCTGTTACAACTCTCAGTTTTTTTAACAAAAAATATCTTTATGAATTTACTTGAAATAGTTATCGGAAAAAATATTGTAGAAATAATAGAACTAAAAATTTTTATATGTCAATCTAAACAATAGAAATACGTATGTCTTAATAGTTTTATTTTTAATGACATTATATTACTCGTCTTTCGTATAAATTGTCTGAAAAAATAAAAAATAGAAATATAATAAAAAGTTGAAAAACAAAAAGAAACCGCCTCACCGTGACAATGCTGTCGCATTGCCGTGACCAGGATTCGAACCTGGGTTACTACGGCCACAACGTAGGGTCCTAACCACTAGACGATCACGGCTATCGAGGCTTACAAGCATGTGATGAAATAACTAATAACATTAAAAAATTAAAATTACAATTAATTTTAAGAATAACTACGATTAGTTTTATTTTTATCGTACCATTACTTCTTGCAATCATCTAGGGTCATATACGGTCAGTTGCACAAACGTCCATTAATGTTTCATTAAACACTTTTAAGATCTAATGAATGTCAAATTTTTATGGGTAATGTCCCTTTAAACTAATGAAAATTTTAATGGACGGTTGTGCAACTAGCTGCTAGTCTAGTTGTTCATAAAAATATACTTACAGGTTCTGGAGAGCTAGAATTCGGAGAGTTTTGTTCACTAGCTGCTAAATTCTTAACTGAAGAAGATGAGGACGACGAAGCCATGGTGAGAGAACTAAGGGAGGCGTTTAGATTATACGACAAAGAAGGTTAGTTGAAAACAATAATGATTTTGAATAATTATTTTAACATAAGGTGAGACAAAATCGTGATGCCGACACTTTTTCTAGTATAAAACGATAAGTACTTATTTTCTTGTCCAATTGCAAATAACAAACCAAAACAACTTTGAATTTTATTTATAACGCCTAGAGCCAGTGCACACTACAATGTTGTTCTGTTCATAATAGCGTCGTGCTCGACCACGAACACAGCGCTGTCACAGTATTAGGGGTTCACTCATCTAAACCTATATCCTCTTTCTTCTCCTAAACCTGTAAAAGGGGCGTGGGGACGTAAAAGGACTGATAATAGATTATTTGATGGAATCTCTATTGTCTGTCTGTGTTCGACAATGTATTTATAAAAGAATCAACACATCTAACGTCAAATTTTTTAAGTATTACTTATGGCAGTTTTAGATTTCAAATTAAAAGTTATATGAAGTAGAATTCCTAAAATGTTAACTATTATGAAATTCGGTATAATTAATAAGAATTCTATTCTTCACATGTACATTTAAGCAGCGTAATATTTCTTAAATTTTAAATTGAAATATAATAACATAATATATACTTATAAATATGGAACAATAACAAGTAATCTTATACGATGCATGAAAGCTCAAACATTGTTATATCAAACATTTATAATAATATCGATTGGGTTCGATTCCTGTGGTTAAATTTTTAGAGTATTTTTAATCACGTACGTATTATTATCATTTTATAGGTAACGGATATATCACGACTGATGTTCTAAAAGAAATCTTCAGGGAATTGGATAATACTTTAAACTCTGAGGAATTGGACACCATGATTGAAGAGATTGACTCTGACGGGTCAGGCACTGTTGACTTTGATGGTAAGAAATTTTAAGTAAATATTTCTAATAGTAAGACTGAAAATCAAGCATCAGGCTTGGTATGGTTATGGTTATAATGTAAGAAGGGATGATAGGAATGGTAATAGACAAAACTCAATGGATGGAGAGAGAATTTAAGGCTATTTACCAACAGAACAGCGTAGCAGGGTAGGCAGATTATGAAGATCTAAGTAGGTCCAAGGCCTAATTATCTAATTTTAAAATTTGATGTCGTTTGAAATAACGAACTTAACTTTTTGTATTTTTTGTATGTCTCTTGATCATACAATTCATTATTTGTTCCGAAAGCAATTGTAACTCTAAACGTCACATTCCACATATCGCTATCAAGATACAATGCATTCAAAAGATTGCGATAATGTTTTTTGTAAAGATGTAAGTTTTTTAATCAGTTTTATTCGTACTAAATTGTAATTAATATTTCTTTCAATGTTCCAGAATTCCTGGAGGTAATGACGGGAGAATAAAGGACTTCGATAAATAAAGATAATTAGTGCTACTTGTAAATAATGTATCAAGGATTTCGTATCAATTAATTTTTTTATTAAGTAATTTTAAGGTAACGACCAAAACATATTTTCTAAAACATCATGATAATTTTGAATGTTTTAAGATAAATGTGTATTGACGAAAAATAATTTAAGCAATCTTATAACTATACTGTACACAGTGGAATTGTATTAAATAAAAGAGATAGAAATAATATTTATTTTTATTTCTCAAGTCAATTGTTTTATAATTTGAGATAGCCAGATCAGTGGTCAACAAATTGTTTTTAAGAATCTTAAAATAACATTATTATGGTAGCTGCTTTCAGTTCTGTGACAGGATAAAGCGTCGTTGAAATAAAACCGGTTTTGGCTTTTGAAGTAGGTGTTATATAATTTCTCATTCCTGATTCATCATAAAACGTGAAAGCGTCATCAGAAAATAAACAAAGGATGTACTATCCAGCAGTGAGTTTTTGTTATAAAATTAGCCTAGAATTCGATGTTGTGTACAGCGCTGTCACAGCATAGTACTTCAATCAAAATAAAACCTAATTTAAAACGTAATAGGTTTACAACACTACTTTACAACACTACTATGTTTGTTTGTGCTTTATAAACGAGTATGTAAATGTTATCTTTTTCTGCCGCGATATAACACAGCTTTAAATAAATGTGCTTCCACTTTGAAAAGTTTTTGATTAGTCCTATTAGTAAAATAAGGAACTAAAACCAAAGTTCAAAGCACGGTTCAACCAAAACCACCCTTGAAAATTATAACCTATGTCGATCCAGGTATTCGACTTCCCTTAGGTGAAAGAATTTTCGAAATACCTAGGTCCAAAAGTTTCGGAGCCTTTTCAATGGAATCAAACAATGAAATATATACTCTTTGTAATATTAGCAATATTAATTGCTAGGATAATAATATATTTCTACTGCTAATCGATAATAGCAACGAAATTAAAATATCGTAAAGTATTTTAGTCACTTTAAAGTGGTCAACTAAGACTACAAGCAAATACTTGTCTAAGTAGACACTTCAAAATAGACAAATATCTTTCCATTATATTGGTTATTGAAAAATTCTGTTGGTTTTGTAATGAACTAATAAATGTACTTAGCTCAATTTTTTTCGTGTTTCTTCGCCTAATTGTATAATGCTGATCGAAACATTGCGCCGCCATTTTCTTAATCGGCTTACAACACTACTATGGATTGCAATAGGCTACATTCAATTGTTATTATTGTTAGGCCTTGCACAAATAGCTATATATTTTTTAAATGAAAATTGATGAAATAATTTAACGGTTATTTGGTGTTTCCATTTTTTCAGTGTCGTTATTATGATTTTTTTGAGCTAAAGTTTAATATAGCATTCCCAATTTGTTCTTTATGCAAACAGCATATCTATACTTATCTATACATCTATACTCTACTAATACTAGAAAGAGGTAAATTTTCATTCTTTGTTTGTGCATGCATTGAATAGGCTCCGAAACTACTGGATCGATTTTAAAAATTCTTTATTATTGGTCCTTGACCTATGGGTTGCTACATCATACGCAGGTGATTTATACTATAATTTACACGGACCAAGTCGCAGGAAAACAACGAGTATGTAAATAAATTGAGTTTCAACCTGTCGTCGACGAAGATGGTGTTTGATATAAGATATGTTATAAAAATCCTGTCCGACCCGAAAGAGGCATTTAAGTGTCATGTTACAATCAGATCACCAAATAAAAGATGAAAATGTTATTATGATAATAATAGTAAGATATCTAAAATATGTGATTATATTGTCTGAGTTATTGTAATTTGCCTAAATTCTAGCCTTTTTTTAAAGTAGGTAACAACACCGTAGTCAGTTTTTTTCTGTTTGAACGACAGAGTTTTTCATTAACGACGTTGCTACCCAGTACACCAAATAGATATTATATTGATCGATTAATCTGGCAGTCTGAGACGAGACTCGACTCCAGCAATGCCCGCAATCCGGGCGACTACTCTAAGCTGAGTGACACTGAGCTACCCAGGATCTAAAAGGCCTGACGTATTTTTCAAGCACTTGTTACTTTTTTCAGAGTACTTGTAACCTTCGGCCTACCTTCGGCTGGTGGATGTGGGACCGTCCATTAATCACGTGACGCTGGATAGGGGGAAGGGGGATTCGTCAATAATCACGAAATATCACAAGGGGGAGTGGGGGTGTAGTAATATATCACGTGTATTTATTTTTTGAAAACTGAAAAGTGGTTTATTATCTTGAGATCCTACTTGCTTCGGAAGGCACGTTAAGCTGTTAGTCCCGGCTGCGTCTGCATTCGTTTATACTACCAATTTGCACTGAGCCCGCGTGGTGGGTAATAGTCCCTTTGTCCCTTTTCGATATGACTCGATTCCATCCACAGGGAAGGTCTGAGAACATTAATAGGCTCGTGATGATGATATAACCTTCTTGCAACACCTCGGCGCATATACGATCTATCCCCACCCTTGTATTGCCATGTACTGTCAAAAGCTGGCAAGTCATGGTATACAAAACTATTTTTCTTTACTTGATTTTAAACCTTAATACATTGTACATACCTACATCGCTAGGTTGTGTTCTAGAAGTAGGCTGCCTATTTTACGATATTCGTTTAGAATATAAGTTTTTGTACATTTATCTCATTTTTAGGGTTGTGTAGTAAACAATATATAATAACTATAGTTACAATATATATAGTTTCACATATCTATCTATCTGTCCGTCCGTCCATCCGCCCTTTAGTTATAAAACTATTGGTACAAGAAACTTGTTATTTGACATCGCTGGGAATTACACTATACTCTCACTCCACATTTACTTTGATTTTACGCTAGCAACCAAACAACGGCTAGGGTACAGCTGAAAATCAGTGTCTGTTTTCTATATGGAACATCCAACACTGAGCTGTATGTATATCTCTTGGGCTACTGCTTCACACTCTGGTACGGTGGTAAGAATCGTCTGTTGTAATTTTTAATGTTTCTACTAAGTAGCAACTAAGTATTTTACAATAACTTATAATGTAGTGATAGTAGTGGTTACATAAAGATTTATCTATCTATCTATACCCCTGCTCTTTGACTAGCCCCATTCTGGGGCAGGTCCACAGGGGGGGAGCCCCACGTAACCCCGGTTACCCGCTCTGGCGACCCGGGGTATGCAGTAATGCATTTCCCAGCGTCAAAAAAAAAAAAAAAGGTTAGGTTAGGGAAGGAAAATTGGGGATGATATTTTTTTTCGTATTTCCCATAGCATGGGGCATCGTTAATAGGAAGGCCGTTTTTCGATTTAGTAATCCGTTTCTGACTTATTAAGCTATAAAGAGCTAATTTTCGTTGAGAGTCAAGTGCCTTCCCTCCCTCTACCAAGTAAAAAAACAAAAAATAACCTATATAATACCTATATAACGAAGTTTTCAACCAATTGTATTAAACTCCATAGAAAATGACAAATTTTTAACTTTTTTTAAAGGATTATCGTATCGGAACCCTTCGTGCGCGAGTCCTACTCGCACCTCGCTGGTTTGTCTATTGTGCAATAAAGAATACTTATTATTATAAAACCTAATAATTCCCTTAGGGATCTAGCACGGTTTTGTTAACATACCCACTGTATGTTACTGAAGTAGGTATATTACTTCAGAATTAACCTTAAATAGCTTTCCGCCAGCGGCTTCGCCCGCGTGGTCCCTAGGGTACTGTTTATTTTGATATCGATTCATATTATGACACGGATATAAAAAGGATGACAACTAGGTTAATGGGTTAAAAAAAAAGAAATTCTTTTTATTCCGTTCGTGCAGATAATAGAAAAATATTAGATACGTATTTTTTTTGCTTCAATTTAAAAACTAATGGCTTAGATAATAGGTATTGAAGTTGAGGGGTAGGACCTCGTTACGTTACAATGTTGTAGAAAATGTACTATAGCGTGACGTCATGCGACATTGCATTTCAATATATCGCCGTAATTTATTGAATAAGCAAAAAAACACGTATTTAATAATCTACCTGACGGACAAACCAACAAAAATTAGTCGTCATCCATTACAGTGACAAATTTAATAGTATCTAAATAATGGTTACTATGGCAATGTTTTAATTACCTATATAAACCTTCACTCCCATTTTCCTACCCTTATTTGCTGTTTTTCGGGATATAATATAGCCTATTATCACTGCATATGATGAGGCTTCCCGTAAGTTAAAGAATTTTTAAAATCAGTCCTTTTTTCTGTCTCAGTTTTTTCGGAGCCTATACGATGCAAACAATCAATTATAATATTTGTATACATTTCTCTTTATAATAATAATATACACGTTAGATAATATTTACAGTTCAATAACGATAAAACAGAATTTCATGAATGAGTTTTATATAAGTACACATTCATTTTAATAAAACAATATTAATATGGGAATTTCCAATTATTCCATTATTGATTCAGAGAATACATGTAATCAATTGAAAAATTAAATAGATTGGAATTGGGTAATCTCTGATAAATTTGATAATTATGTCTCATATCTGTAAAAATAAATCAATGCATCAGTAGCTGCACAGATATAAAAACATTTTATTTCGTTATTCGTTTTGAATAAGAAATATTTATAGATCCATAGACTATGGATCTTAAACTTTTATGAGTTCTGTTGTAATTTACAGGCATTTTAGTTCTATTTCTTTCAAAACGTGATTAAAACCTTAGCCCAGTTCTTTTATTTATTTGGGTTCATTATCGTTAGCATTATCAGCCCTTAAGGAAGATGGGCTTCGGTCCTTCACGCTGGTCCAATGCGGATTGGAGAGTGTTAAACAACTGCAAATTCAGACGGGACCAACGGATTAACGTGTCTCCCAAAGCACGGAGCTTGAGAAAATTTTTATTTTGGTTCTCCATCCTGTGACCGGCCCTTGCGAAAGAGTTGCTTAATAACAACAATCGCGGGCTGCGGCGCTGATCCACTACGCCACCGGGTCATGTTTTTGGGTTATCACCGAAGAAATGAAATAATGACTGATGTTATTTATTAAACGAAACAAAAAATAAATTAAAATAGGTTACTAAATTAACTTAGGCATTGAGCAAAGCAGAGCTAACTTTTTGCTATTTTTTACTAATGTTATACTTTTTTCTGGTTGATTGGAGAAGAATACTTTTGGCATTACGTCTGCTGTTTACAGTTTTTCTGTTTAAGTGAAGAACGATAAAAGTAGGGTTCAAAAATATATCCAACAAATGTTAGTTCATTTCACTCGAGTGATTTGAAAATAAAAAACAGAGCGCAAATCTTAAATACATAACCCTAAGCTAAATAACCTCTAACCAAGTTAGTCAGAAACTGTTAAATATGTTGGTTCTTAATGCTCTGGTATTTCTTTTTAAAGTACCACCTGTGTATTTGTATTGTAACCCTAAACCCTAAGCTATCTAAGCCTAGTCCCCGCTATTCATCTAAAAATGTAATAATTATGAAGCTAATAAACATTATTATTATTTATAAGACCTAATTTATAATCAGTTTTTGTTTCTTTCATTTATTCCGGATATATAAATTTTTTAATAGAAAATCTCTTTGTGACTTTTTTATATTTTATACTTTTATTTCTGTTTCCACGTTTAATTTATGTCAAGTTTTGAGGTTTCAAATTATGCCATACATTTAACAACTCACGATTACTTTCAAGTTATTTTATAATTTGAAAAATGAGATAAGATAATTTTAAAATCAACTACTTATGTGGATTTCGAGTAGATTTTTCCTTCATTAGTAATTCAATTAAATAAAACCAACAATTCAAAATGTAATGCAGGTTTCGTCTGATTGAATACTGCCACTGTGTTTGATACTGTGTTTGATTAATAAATAACAAATAGCTCTGATTAAAAGCTAGTTTAGGCAAACCTGGAACTATAGAAAGATTTGAGATTAAATCTTCGGAAATACTAATCCGACCATGACAATTCTTTCACTTACGAGAATCTACATCATACGCGGGTGGTATAGAATTTACGTGGACGAAATCGCGGAATACAGAGGAACAGGAACAGTTAATGATATATTATTTCTCAGTATACTAATGTATGAAAGTAATGTACTTATTGTATAAACGTAATGTACTTATTGCAAATTGAAAATTTGTAATATAGTCTCGTACATCTCTATAATCAAGATTATGTTAAAGCTACTTTATGCTTACTATTTACGTACTTTGTTCGTAAAGCTTTCTAATGCGGAACCCTAAATAATATTCAATAAATTTGTTTCATCGCTAACCAACTTACGTCAGCAACTGAAACCAGTGGAGCGTTGAAATGATTCTGAAGAACGACTAGATTTAGACTGGAATTGAGAAATAAACAACTATCCAATATAAAAATAGTACTATTACCTTGCAGTTTTGAATACTCTATGAAATTATATAAATTTTCTTTTGTGGTGTGAAAATTTCAAAGGAATAATTTCAAAAGAATCAATTATGGCATCATTTTTCTAGTGAAACTGTCGAAGATTTCTTCAAACTGTCAGTCAAATTAGTAAAACGTTGAGATTTTATGAAATGCATACGAGACTTAGTAAATAATAATGTAATAAAGAAATGTGAGATTAAGACTCTATTATACACACATAACAGATATTTTCACTTCCTAATAAGTTGATTGTAATATTGCCGGAAAAATGAAATTATCGGCAATACATAACGTTGCCTATATTTTATTTATTGTGTGTTGTTTTTTTCTTTTCTATCTATACATATTGTACAATATATAATATGTTAAAATATTTTACTTCAACAGTAGGAAATTGCACTAATTACATCAGCTGATGGGATATACCAGTTTTCCAGCTAATCAACCTTATTTGTGGCTTCCGATAACTACTTTGTGGTGAAGGTGCAGATAAGAGTATGATTGAGTTACTTCCTCTAACATTCGAGTGCAAAATTAAATATACTCATAGAATTAAAAGTTATGTTATTATTATAAAATATTTTTTTAAATAAGTTTTATCCCGATCTCATGTAATATCCAATTTAAATTCAGTTAATTTGTTTTACACGTTGTTTCTAATAAAAATAAGTACTTTCTAAATAAAGTTTCACATATAGTTACATAATTAAAAATATATTTAAATTTGGATAATGAATTCATATGAACAACTCATGGAAATACTAGTTTCATGTTCGTCATTACATATACACGTAATTTTAAATTTTATTCTGCTCTTAGAAAATCAATAGAACCATTTTCATCAATTCAAGGAGGAATGTTTGGAATTACCTTCATATAAGGTCAAACTATCAAATTGTCGCGACCTATTAATTATCGAATGCCACCTTATTTAAATATAATAAGGCACAAATTAGTGCGCCCTCGAGGTATATGCAACTGTCTAAGTAAATTATAAGAGTATGTATTCACTGGTTCGCGTGCGAGTTGTGTGAGCTCACTCGCCATGAACTAGCAATATTTTTGACAATACAATTACATCAAATGGATTTTTAGAGGTTGATTCCATAATCCGTTCAAAGTGATTTGATATTATTTAATTTTTACTAATGGTTGGTGGTATTCAAGGTTTAATTACAGAGAAACACTAGTTGGGTAGGCAGGGAATTCACTTCAAGAGATGCCCCAAGATCTTGTTGTATGATAACTGATTTTACCTCATCACATCACCATCACCACCAGCCCTTTTACGTCCCCACTGCAGGGGCTCAGGCCTTCCTTATGGATGGTTAAGGAGGATGGGCCATGATCCTCCACGCTGGCTCAATGCGGATTGGAGGGTATTAACGACTGCAAATGCAGCCGGGACCAACAGCTTAACGTGCCTTCCGAAGCACGGAGTAGCTCGAGATAATAATTTTTTGGTCACCCATCCCGTGACTGACCCTTGCGAAAGTTACTTAACGACTACGATCGCGGGCCGCGGCGCTTATCCACTACGCCACCGAGCTACTGATTTTACCTAAAAAACTTAATTTCCTCTCGTTCTTAAATGAGTCTATGACTTTAAAAGTTAAATGTGTTTTGTTTATTTATAGAGATAGTACTCCAAACGTGCCTGCATTGTGTCGATCAAAGTTCAAGTCAAACATTATTTAGCCTTCACACTTGTCCTAGTTACAAAAGGTCCAAAGCTCTTAAGGTATTCATAAGAAAATATGGGCATTGTTTCAAGACACTATTCATTCATATAAACTATTACAATCTGGATATAGAATACACGAACGCATTTGAATAATTATGAAATTACTTGTTTGTATGAAAGCAATTGTTATTTCCCTGAGGGGATATCATATATTTTAAATCACGTTTGAGAAAAGCCTCCTTGCAATCGACCTTTTAATATCAATAGTAGCAATTCGTTAGTCAAGGTAGTTTGTGATATACACGAAATCAGAATTAGACGCACATTTCATAGAAAACACATATAAATTCAGCTCTATGAGTATTGACACCTAAGTATACGATAAAAAACAGTAATAACAAATAGAAATATGCAAAAAAAAAATTGAAAAACTTTACTATTCATGACAGCGAGAGCCCAATTTGAATCCTTTTCCAATTCGGGTACAGTTACATTACCTACATTACAGTACCAGTGAAATGAACCACTAGAATACAGTGATGTTACATATATAGGAATTGCCACAATAGTTCTATCATACGACATCTATCAATACATTCATACATATATTCTCGAGAAAGTAGAATCATCCCTAATCGTAGTGGTTCATTGCAATGTTAAAAACACATTTTATAACCTGGAGTCCATCCTGGTTTAATCTTCAAATAGTTAGCATATGTAAAATTATGTAAATTAATTTTAATGCAATTAAATAAAAATACGTCGACACAATTATTAATGAACTCGCAGATATGATAGTAGCGAGACTATGAGCAACCAGTGAACGTTACAAATTAAGCACTCAATTGTACAACTTAAAACAATGAAGAGATGTGAATTCGAAAAATAATTGTACGAAAAACATAAGAAATATATTATCATGATCAAAGGCGTATCAAATTAAGATTTTACCTATTCTCCCTTCACAATTAATACAGGCGTTAAACCAGAACACAATTGGTCAATAAAATGTATCATAAAACGAAACCCATGGCACAAGATCAAGTTGGTAATACTTGACAATGAAATGCAGGTATACAAAACGTTAAGCCGTATTCAAGAGACCATTGTGTGGGCAAGGTGAATTGTTGCGAAAATTAGAATCGAAAACATAACCCCGATTGTTCTCTGGCGTTTGTCATGCTTTTTATGAAAGTGCTTAGGTGTTGAAATACGTTTGAGCCTAGTAAAAAAAATAAGTCGTAGGGCCTAGCGAAAATGCTTATGCAAATGCATCCTACATATGTGAATTAAGTATATAAGATCTGATAATAAATGTTCCTTTAGTCCTAATTTTTAACAACTAAAAATAGTGTTTAATTAAAGGACTTTCAATATTTTTTTCTAATCATTTATTTTCTATAATAAATCTCTTTTAAGATCTTATCTGAACTGACAGTAGACGTCAATAATATGAGTTATTATTATACAAAATAATATAAGTCCATCAAAATGCAAATTATTATTATAAATACATGTTGGTGGAAGGAAAAAAATAGACTTCATAATTTCAATGGTGAGCGAGATAGTGAGCTAAATATTTCGCCTTAAGACCGTTAAATAGACGGCAAATTTTACTAGTCGGATATCTACTTCGAAAAAACGTCCAGAAGATGCTATACTATACTTTGCAATATGTTTGAAATGAATTTGTGCTAATAATATCATAGAAATTTTAAGTAAAGTGGTTTGAGAGATAGAAAGGGTGATCAGTTTCTTGTATGCATTAAATAGACTCCGAAACCACTAGGCTGATTTAAAATCATCATCATACGCTTGACATAGGCTATAAATTAAGCATGCGCAGTTACCGGACAACAGCAAGTAGGTTTAATAAATTTGTTACAAAAATATTCAAATAAAACTTATTTTATTAATTATATACTATTTTAATTGTACCAGTTAGTATCTAGATATTATATATAATACTAGTTTTTAACTGCAATTTTGCAGTGGATATACTCGTAGTGTCAAATTATGCCTATATCCTATCCCAGATTTCAAACTATACCTTTATTTAACCGTCAATCAGTCTAGCGGTTTGACCGTGAAAGCAAATAACTGAGTTACTTTCGCATTTATAGTGTGAATTAGTATTGGCAGCGTGTCTCACACGGGGGCTTAATCAAAAGTAAAACAAAAATTTATAAGAAAGATAAGATTGTTCCTAGAGTACACGCGATAAAACTCTGATATACAATGTATAATACTTACCCATTTACGGACACCACCAAGACTCATTTTTGGTTCGTGAGTGTCCGCGCAGGCGACACAGAACAGCAGAACGAAAGCACACCAGATATTCCTTTAGCAATGCACTCTTAGAGAAAACAATAGATAGGCTGGAAAAGAGAAAAGTGAGAAAAGTAAAGAAACAAAGGCAGAAATAAAGCGGCTTCACCAAGTTTGGAAGGAAAAAATAGATAAGTGATAAAGTACATAAGTTTTAATGGTGTTTATAACTTGTATATTTTTTCAAGAAAATCAGTTTATCATATTGAAACTAAAAAAAAGCACAGATGAAAAGAAACATGACACTTCAGAGGAATCTCATAGTAATAACCGCTACGGAAATGAACACAAAGCCACACAATTTGTTTTCTATATTAATCCGACGGCTTTGAAAGTAAGATTAAGTTTAATCAGTGTTGATTTTATATTCAACTACCGACATGTTTTGTTACACAGGTGCAATTTACGTAATAGTGAGCCGGGTGGTATTGTTTGAGTAACATATTCAACAATTAATCTTCATGCTACAGCTAATTTCCACAAAATAAATGAATTATACAAAAACTAACACTATTGTTCATTGGTATTCAAAATTTGTCCATTGATTTTGAATTTATTGCGCTTATATACATAAAGAGCTATTGGGGTGATGTTAGTATTATTTTAAAGTTATTCCTAATGATTTCCTGAATACCGTTAATATAAACCAGACTTTTATTAAATAAAGCCGGTTTCGGATAAGTTCCCAATAAATTCCGACATGTGACGAAATTCCATTCAATGTTTTATTTGAACCTGAAGAGTATCCGGACTGATTTCGAAGTTTTAACTTACACCATACGCTGTCAGATTTTGTCATTACCTGTTTATTATGATGACTTGAAGCGATTTTCATAAAGCATACGTGGGCGTGTCGATAAAAAAAAATAGAAAGTATAGCAATCGCGACCTTGATTACTCTTAATTAGGATATGTCATATCCGGTGAGACGACACTTCGGGTATCTAGTTGTGTAACCTGCAGACCTATTCGCCAACTCAACTGACAACGTAAAGTCGTAGCCACTCTAAAAAGTGAGCAACTTCAAAGTGTCAAAATCACTTATTCGTATTTTCTATCAATGGTTCGCAATTTTGAAAAGTCAGATCTGCACTGAAGTCATTTTGACATATGATCTTGTATTGATAACTTGTATTGATTTAAATTTCGTATTCCGTAAGCATTAGTGAAATTCAATGTGTGTTTTTATCTAAATATAAAAAAATAGGTATAGCATCTGGCTAGAGATTAGTGATTTATTAAAACGAGGTACAGAATACCAAAACAGAAAATTTCAAGTTGCTCACAGAGCTCTGTGGACAATTTATTTCGGTTCTCCTCAGAAGTTGCCAAGAGTTACAGAATAAGGAGGCTGACTATATGTCGTTGGTTACGCGAGTGACCGGTCCGTGCAGGGTTTGTTTGCATAAGGAAATGTGTGTGATTATAATATCCGGCTTAAGTCAATTTTTTTATCTGTATCTTCCGTGAGAAATTATGTGGGTAAAAATTTTGTAGATGCGTGAATACATTAGTCAATGATAGAGTTTAGATAATCAGAGATAAAGTTATATTTGTAACATAGCCAGATCGTTGGTAAAATCTCTGCAACAAAAATGCGTTCTCGTTTGTTTTGGCAAATTTTCTAGACATAGACTGAATATCCACAAAAAAGTTATTAAAATAACTAAAAAAACCTTGGGCACTTTTATACAATGCTTGCGCAAATAGAGATAGATGAAATGAGGAAGAAATGATGTAGTAAATTTCAAACAATCATAAAAAGTTATAGTTATTTGTAATAAAACCTCAATAATGTTTAAACTTTTTTACGTTGAACAATTATAAAACGGATTAAACTTATAATCCGTTTAATTGGTCATCACAGTTTACAAAAATGCAATAAAACCTTAAAAAATAGTAATCATCCCAATTTTATTTAAAGAAGTTGTGATACTGAATAGTATATCATTAAATGCTTTAATACACACACTATATTGCTCTACTAAGCAAGTTAAATGCATAAAATTGTAAATGATATCGCAATTCAAATAAATAAATCAAAACACTTCATTAATCAATTGACTAGTAAATTTTTAGATCTTACTCGACTTACCTTAATCGATGTTGATCTGTAATCAAGCGTATTCAAACTTTATTTCTTTTAAATAAACATTATTGATCATAAATTGAACTGCAATAATTTCGTGGTTGTTTAATTTATTACAAATTTACTTATTCTATATTCAGCACATTCGCAAGTGTCAAGAATTTGATCGTATATTACAATTTTGAATCGTGTTTTGAAACGGTGATAAATTTCGAACCTCATTAACCAACTCGACTTTGTAGACACAAATGGCTACTTATAAATATTTGATCATTATGTAAATAAAAGTTTTTAAAATTGTTTTATGAAATTGTAAACGTATTAGTTTCGGCTAAAATGATGAGGATGTACTGAGTTCCTATTGTTTTGAAGTCTGTTATTAATATCAACAAAATTACATTAATTGCGAATTACATCAAGTTAACATTTAAATCATTGTGCGATTACATAATTTATCCTCATTAGTATACTGAAGATATCTCTTACTTTTGTTTTAATGTTTTTTTTTTTCTTTTCGGCTACAGTTTATTATTATATTATTGCCCAAGACGTAAGCGTTTGCCGATGAATCTCCATCGCATAGCATGACTGTATCTTCAAAGTTCAACGAATTCAGAAGAGGATAATAATTACCTTCATGAGGATGAACGTGCAAGTCAACCAACTATTGCGGTTAAGGGGATTATTAAAACTGATAGTATTCTCTCCTCGGTTCCGTTTCTTGTCTCTGTTCTTCTTCGAAACTTAGAGTAGATATTCCTATCACTATTATGGTCCATTCTCCCCTTGATTATATTAATAGGCAAATGCTCTGTGTGAATAAGCTATGGGGGTGACGATGAAATATTGACTTTAAAAAAGTTATAAAGTGAAAATTATGTCGAATAATAACCACAGACTATTCAGAATTCAGATGACAGATGCGTTCAATTTAAGCATTATAATATTAAACTTCAACGTATGCCGACATCTTCTAAGAATAAATATTCGCCACAAGAATGAATTTGTGATACTTTTAACATTGTTTAATCATTTGAGGTTTTACAAATACTAGGTAAACCAGAGAGATGACAATGTATGAGTATACGAGTATAACATGTATTTGGGTACAAATATCGTTTCATTCATAGCACAATGCAATAATCTTTACTTCATTAATGGATTTCAAAGGATTGCTTATTTATTTAATAAAGTTTGATAACAGTAAGAATTATAATATATTTTAATAAATCATTATAAGTAACTAACCGCACTCTCTTAATTCCTAGTTCATATTTAGGTTGAAAAAATGGGTACGTGTTTAATGAACCGTGCTAGATCTTCTAATCTAATAAAAATAAGCGGATTCAAAGAAATATATATATAATCAGAAAAAAAAGATAACCTGGGTTGAGGTGTACTCTATTTTTATACTACTGGTAGTTTTAGGTATTGATTTAGAAATATAATATATTATATATAATATATAATATATTGATAATAAATACAAAAATATTTATTTTTGTATTTAGTTATCTGTAAAACTGCTTAAAATCAATAAATAAATATTTAGCAATACTTTACGAACGAAATTACCCAAACTCAATTCCCACATCTCATTAATTTTGGACATAAAAAATACTTACGCTACGCACGCACTGGTGATTTTTTATAATCGTTGGCTTTTTTGCTGGCGCAAACAAATGACATTTGCCTGGAAGTGACTTAATTATTACGTGTCCTAGTGCACGCGCTACAGAAACAATTCTCAGGCACGGTGACAGGACATAAAAAGTTACGGTGACAAAAAGACACCAGTGTGCGCGAAGCCTTTTAAACATTTTATCTTGTATTTAAAACAAATATTATACCTAAGAATTTATTTCTTTTTCAAAGTTACGTTACTGCTTCCCAACCCAGCTGATGTCGGTTCTGATTTTATCACGGGAAACGATAGTACAGGGTTTCCGTTAGGTGGAAACGTAAAAAACGTTATAATATATTCCGAAGGACAGCAGATGGCAAAACAATATGGCAAAAGTCGTGATGTTTGGTAAAATAAATAGATGCATACTCATATATATTATAAATTTATATATTAAATTGAGTTTATCTTTTAAAAAAAATGTTAAAAATTTAGTGTGTTCGAACTTTTTTTTTTTTTTAAGTTTAGAGATTCAATATAGGTTTTTCCAAACATAAAGGCAAAAATGAATGAAAATGATATTTTTAATATCAAAACTGCTTGGTTTCTTGCAAAGAATTTAATTTACAGAAATGTTTCGAACATGTTTAGTTTTTTATTTGTGAACACTTTCTCATTTTTTGGACAGTATGATCAAATATCATTACATATTTTTTTCGAAAAGTTACGTTCCCGAGATAACTTGATTCTTCATAATCGTTGAATGTTCTACAATAGCATTAAAAATGTTGTTTTGATTTTTTTAGTTATATAAAAATATTTTAAAAATGTAGAACATAACTGCTATATTTTTCTTTATTTAGTTTTATTTCATGTGATAATGTGTAATAACATAATGTGAGATGCCTTAACATATCTTTAAATAAAAGGTTGTTTTTATTGTTTATATTTTTATCTAAATTATATTATTTACTAATAAATCAATGATGTTTGGTGAAATTAAATTATACACTTAAATAATGGTTATATATCATAATACGATATCTTACTCGAGTAGTTTAAAATTTTACGGAGTAGTAGACAACATATTTTAAATCATGAATTCATGAGTCACGACATCCGGTTTTTTACCTGAAGTACATGTTATGATATACAGGTATTTTACATTATTTTTCACCAAATTGTATGCGTAGTCACTAGCTCCAGGTGCTCCGTTCTCAGAACATATATTTCTTAAAAAAGAATGAGGTACCTTTTCGTTTTTATTACGGTAAAAAATGGGACCTTATTACTAAAACTCCGTTGTCAGTCCATCCGTCCGTCTGTCACCAGGCTGAATCTCATGAACCGTATTAGTTAGACAGTTGAAATTGTGTTCGATGAGATGGTGTATTTCTTTTGCCACTTTAACAAGAAATAATAAAAAAGTACATATAGTTGATTGATATTTTTCATGTCAGGGTATACGAAACTAAATTTTAATACTACACTGAAACACAAATACTGCTCAGATCCCATATAGCTATAATACAAAGAATGCGCTACAAAATCCAGGCCCAAGAAAATATAGAAAAAAAAACTATATTACAAAATATTTGAGAAATAACTCACCCCTTTAACTACCCCGAGTATGCACGACCTACAGTCAAAACGTGTTTTTGTGGTTTTTCCCATTACTTCTTGATATTTTTTTATGTAATAAATAAAGTACCTACATTCAATTTTATTATTCATAATATTTTCGGATACTTTAAAAAAGTGAACCATGATGAAATATCTTTCCTCTGAAAATCGTTTTATTAGGACTTTTTAATTACTAGAACATTTTTATAAATAAGTACCAAATGAAGAGTACAAATAAGTTATAAGCCGTTTCATAGAATCAAGATAAATTTCATTTATACACTAACGCAATTTCATGTAACAGTTATACGCATTTAAAACATTCAATAAACGTCATTATTGCTAGTTAACCCTTCGTGCGCGAGTCCAACTCGCACTTGACCGGTTTTTAAATTAAACGGCATATAAAATAGTATAAAGCATATAAATCAATAGTTATTGGATATTTGATCCGCTTTGATATTATAATTTCGATTACGAACGGTTTGAAATCGCCTAAGTAATTCAATATAAGGTAACTAACGCGATGATGATCTTTCTGCTATAAAAAAATGCGGATGACATTTCGAATAGATATGATATATATTTTCTGTTTGACTGTCCGTCAGGTAGATTATTGAATAATATTAAGTACGTATATTTTTATTTTTACCCTATTGTGGTATATTTAGAGGGGTAAAAGATTTGGTAGGTACCCAACGGGTCTATATCTGATAAAATAGATTATATTTTTATGCGAATATCATAATGGGATCTTTTACTAATCACATCCAATAGTTCCTCTGAAAAAAAATAAAACAGACCTCTAGCGATTAATCATGAATGGCATTATATATTAATTAAATTTTGTCTACATTTCAAATATAATAAAAAAGGATATGGTTTGATACAGAAATCTCGAAAAAAATACATTTAAAGATTAATGTGTGATCTGTAAGGTCAACAATGGGTCATATTAAATTGCTGTATACTAATATTAGAAAGTAATAAAGTTTGTAAATTTCTTTGTTTGTAGAGGAAGATTTTCGAATATAATCCTACGGGTAGTTAATAATTTATCAAGATAAAGTTGTGGGAAAACATTTAGCCCTTTATATATAGGCAAATAATTAGTAATGGACAACATACAAAAGTTGTTTTTCATTGTACGTAGGATTGTAGGTATTTTAGATTTTTGTAAAAAAAGAGAAATCGAGGAAATATCTTCCATTTATTTAAATATAAACAGTTAAACACCCATCAGAAAAGGAAGAGGCATACACTGAGGCTGTTTACCCTATAACGTGTATATAAACAATATGAAAATAATATCAGTTAATATAATTTCATAATTTCATTGGAATATACCTACTACAAAAATGGATTTCAAAGGAATACTATTTTTTTTCCTTATATTAATAATAGTGAGTATTACACGTTTTTAATAAAATCTTTTGTCTGCAATTTGAAAATCTATTGCAATCCCTTTTAATTTGACATTTAAAAGATATTAGCGGACTTCACGCTATAACTTTTTAACATATGATGGTGAATGTACGATAATTTGAATTTGTTAGGTACAAAAGTTTCATTGTTTCTTGATCATTCAAACTATAATTTGTTCCGAAAGCTTTTGCGACTATAAAGGTTATATAATGAATCAACATATAACATGAATCAATATCACAATAGATTTTGGATTTAGAGAATTAGCCCGCGGGTTACTCTTTACCTGTCTACCGATAAACCCCCTTTTTATATAATCATGTAGATGATATGCCTCCATCCACACTAGTCCTTTTACGTCCCCACTGCAGGGGCTCAGGCCTTCCTTATGGATGGTTAAGGAGGATGGGCCATGACCCTCCACGCTGGCCCAATGCGGATTGGAGGGTATTAACGACTGCAAATGCAGCCGGGACCAACGGCTTAACGTGCCTTCCGAAGCACGGAGTAGCTCGAGATAATAATTTTTTGATCACCCATCCCGTGACCGACCCTTGCGAAAGTTGCTTAACGATTACGATCGCGGGCCGCGGCGCTTATCCACTACGCCACCGAGCTACTCGATATGCCTACACTTCAAATTTATTACACAAACTCATAATTTAAGACCCTTTTTAAAACAATCGACTAAAGCCATACGTTCCATTTTAATAAACCTCATTTCTATACAATACGAATTTAAATTCGCTTCGAAACAGATACGTGATGGATACCCGGATCTCCTAATATAACTAATACCAAATAAATTCGCTCAATACTTATCCAACAGCAGAGTTTTACAAAAGTTTTAAAATAAGATTTTCTAGTATGTTATGCACACACTTACTTTTTTATATATATCGATTATAACTAATGTAAAAACTTTGCGTAGAAATTATAACTTTATGGGAACATTTAAATTAGGATTTAATTAATGATGGTCTCTGTGGCCGAGTGGCTAGCACTTCGGTCATGATGTGTCGCCATTTTAGAGGTCTCGAGTTCGGTTACTGGTATATTCATTATAGATAATGGTATTACTTATACTTTATCGGAATTGAACGGTCGTGTTACATACGTTGTCCCAAACTTGCATAGCATAAAGGTTTTAAATTCTTCACTTTTTAACTTTCACTTCGCTCAAATCTAATCTTCTCTAATGTTACGGAGTCAAAAGTAATTCAGCAAAATTACTCTGGACTCCGTAACATTAGAGTCACATTAGTCTCCGTAATAAGTAATCCAAAATTTAAAGGACTTAACCTAACTTACACCCGAAGATTTCATTATTTTTATCTATTTATTAACTATTTTAAAGGCGGTCTACGTCAAAAGTTCCATAAAATAAAATAAAAAAATCTTATGGTTACTTATATATGTGTACCAAAATATCAACACACTTATTCAAGTATTTCTCATACAATTAATTTGTGTTGTGTGTGCCAGGGACAAAGTGAGTTTATTAAGTATTTTTCATTGCAAATGCAAAATTGATCAAATATAACGATTAGAGGTTTTCTTTTAGAAATTTTCCATCTTTATCGAAAGTTTAAACATCTGTAAAAATATTTGTTTCTGATGTTTAGGTGGATTGTCTGAATATTTATTAAAACACGCCCTGACGTAGGGCAAAACTAACAAGTGCTTGAAAAATTAATCACTCCCGTTAGGTCCTGGCTAACCCAGCCGTTAAAGCAGTCGCCTGGATTGCGGAAGGTTATGGGTTCGAGTATTTCAGAGTGCCAGGGACGAAGTGTATTTTTTAAGCAATTTTTCATTAATAAATTGTAAAATTTTCAGAATTACGTTAACGCTTCCGATAAACCAGATAAACCAGATATCAATCATGACAATGACCCTCCAGATTTTCCAGAAAATCCAAATCATTTACGGGATGGTGAAAACGTGGTAATTACACCGCCGAATTGCCCCCCTGGACAGGAGGCAACGAGTGATGGCCAATGTCGCGATGTTTGGTAAAATAAATTATAACGGAACAACTGCTTGTACATTAAAGAGTTGGTTTAAACACATAATTTATGAAAGTGTCTCTAATATTTGGAATGTCATATTAGACTATAATTTTTGTAACAAAAACCTGATATATTATTATGTAGCTTTTTGAAACGTCACTAGAAGAGTGCCCTCAAACATTGTAGAGCCAACAACTTATTCTCGTTAGGAGAGACTTTTTGGGTTTTCAGGAATTTTATGTTTCAAAACACCATTTTTTATACAGACATCTATTAAAAAAATATAAAAGACCGCTAGGACAGCCAAGTAATACAGATTTTATAAATAATTTGTATCTGAAAATCAAAATTTATTGTCTTTAAATGTGTGATATCTAAATGTTTAGTATGCTAACTCTAAAAGTTAAGGTCGTTTCAATTAAAATAAGTAGTTGTTTGATTGTCTTTTTTGTTTTATTTAATTTATTATATAACAATTGTATGTTTACTCGCATCTAGTTATCACAATAATAAACACAACTTTCAAAGTCTGTAGCTCATAGTTTGTACAAATAATAAGTCATTATAGAACAAAGCGAAGGCTATTATTTTCATGCATTGCGTTCCTTAAAATAATCATCAACTTCATAATAGCCTTTATCATAAGTACGTTCTTTACTGATATTTATAACTCCGAAGTCGGTTTTACCAGTAGATGCAGCTTGAATTTTCTATCGCATGGTAAGTAGTAGGTACAATTAATTCATTTTTGTAGAAAAATGACAGTAAACATGTTTTACTTACGCTAGTAAATGTCAGTAATACAATATATAAATGACAGAAAAAAAAAAATAATTATTTATCTTACACTTTATTGTAAAAATACCACAATACAATATAATAGATTTTGTACAATAAGCGTAATATTGCGCCGACCTTAGAACTTGGACGTTAATTTATCAGCCACTGCTGGAACAGGCCAGATCCACCACGGGACCCATCCTACGACTAGCATTTGAAGAAGTTGCTTAACCTACGCATCAAACTATCAAGCTCTTACATGAACGCACAACAAAAATTTATAAAAAATAAACTGAACATTTAGAGTTAGTGGAAACTTTAACTACCATACATCTCTGTGGTATCTATTTATTGGATTACAGATAAAGTCCCTCTTGTATTATATTTTGATTAATTTTCCATTCACAATGCCATACTGAAAATTATTCTTAATACAAAATACTTAAAAAATCCCCTTGGTCCCTGGCATCCTGAGATCAAACCAACGACCTTTCGCAATCCGGGCGTCTGCTCTAACCACTGAGCTACCCAGGACCTAACAGGACTAACGAATCTTTCAAGCACTTGTTACTTTTTTTATATTTGTTATTTTTTTTTTATATAGAAGATGAGTTTTAACTCATTAAAATTGTCTTATTTTACAAAATTGTTTTGTATCATTTAAGCCATCATTTTTATTTTATATAAGGTTCGTTCAGTAAAATGGGATGAAGCGTGGGTTGTAAACAGAAAAATAGTTCCGTGAATTCGATCTGGTTTACCTGTCGTCTTTCTATGTCTCTTTTTGTGTGAATGAAACGTCGAACACTAATGTTTTAATAAAAATAAAATAAAGATCCTTCATGGCTTAATAAGCTTTTCAATTAGAAAAAAAAAAAACAAACAAAGACTATTTTTCATTCGCATTCAACAAATCTATACTAATATTACAAAGAGGAAACATTTGATGGTTGTTTGCTTGTTTGTTTGCATCGAATCGTCCATGCCTATTCTCCCTATTTTATTCCAAAGGGAAGACCGAGCCCCAGCGGTGGAAACATTAATAGGCTATGATGAATATACATATTTGTCATGGCTCTGATATTCGTCAAGAACGTTTTTTTTATAATCAATAAATAAACTTCCTTCCTGACTTTCCTATCCTATCTTAAACGTCTGTCTCATCCCCGTCTCCCTTACCTGCTGTTATTCAGCATCTTAAAACAACCACGGTCGGGAAGGGCATTCGAAAAACATAATTACTGTCCGAGTAATCATCGCACTAAGATAAAACCTAGTTCAATAATAATAAAAAAGCAGTATCTTGTTCCTTCACATGATCACACGGATAAATTATGCGTCAAAGTAACAAAAAATACGTGGCACGCAGTCACTTTAGTTGCGTACGTGTGGTCGAAACTTGAGAAGAATGACTAAGTAATTACGAATTTTCCGTAATCTTTCTCTGCGTAAATCCGTGAAGTGAATTTCAAATCCGCGATAAAAAACAGCTTTCTAGTTTTTACTTCTATTTTCAACGCATCGAATATTTTAATCTAAGCTGTTTTAATTCTATTTACGTATGCGTATTTTTCTAAGTATTACGCAAGCTATTTCGTCATTGTCATATTAATAACCGTTATTCCATTCTAAGAAATATAATGGGGAAATAGTATTGATGTCATCGTCAGGCCACTCGAGAAAATATTTGTATATCGTTTTGGCGAGGATTTTTTAAGAGGAAACTAGACATGTCTCTTGTTTGTTCTCAGTACAATATGCCGTAAATTATAGACATCACTATTCAATTACTAAAATATTATAAATTTATTGTTAAGTGTCGTCTTCGAGTTGTGTAACTGTACAGACGATATTTTAGTATCTTCTTATGAATTTCGAAATAAGATACAATGTATAATATCATCATCATCATCAGCCCTTTTACGTCCCCACTGCAGGGGCTCAGGCCTTCCTTATGGATGGTTAAGGAGGATGGGCCACGACCCTCCACGCTGGCCCAATGCGGATTGGAGGGTATTAACGACTGCAAATGCAGTCGGGACCAACGGCTTAACGCGCCTTCCGAAGCACGGAGTGGCTCGAGATAATAATTTTTTGGTCACCCATCCCGTGACCGACCCTTGCAAAAGTTGCTTAACGACTACGATCGCCGGCCGCGGCGCTTATCCACTACGCCACCGAGCTACTCTGTACTACTGCATAATATGTTTATGTTGTATTATATTTTCATCCAAACTTTTGAAATTAGGAAAAATAATAAACACAACTTCATACTATGATATAATATTAGTATGATTAACCACAATCTCAGTAAAAATAATTAAAAAGCCGTGGGTTAGTAAAAATTTCTATAATGACATATAATAAAATAAAATACAAAGAAAATATAAAAAGTGTACAAAAACTATCAAAAAGGTTCATATAAGGTAGTCGGCAACACCCAGATAGCTAAGATCCCAAATTAAGTAGCTAAAGCACTTATATAATGGAAATGTGAAATAACGACGTTACCGTCCTAGTAACCCTGCCCTAGTAAGCCCTGTAACGTCCCTACAGCAGGGGCTAAGGCCTTCCTGATGGATAGTTTAGGAGCCGGTTAACTAAAGATATAATCACAGCTTACAGGTGTTGAAACCGACGTACGAACCACTCTGCTATAGAGGATGTTAAAATTTACATCATTACCATCAGCCCTTTTACATTCCCACTGCAGGGACTCAGGCCTTCCTTATAGACGGATAAGGAGGTTGGGCCAAGAGCCCAATTCGAATTGGAGGGTATTAGCGACTGCAAATGTAGGCGGGACCACCAGCTTAACGTACCTTGCAAAGCTCCAGATATTAATTTTTTGGTCACCCATCCCGCGACCAACCCTTGCGAAAGTTGTTTAACAACAACTATTGCGGCACTTATCCACTACGCCACCAAGCTACTTCCTCGCGATTATAAATATCATATCTAATCCAATCCCTTATCCTATAAATACTTCTTTAACCTTTGGAATCTTATCTAATATTATCTCACATTTATTTATAACTACTCCAAACCATTCCTCTATAAACATAGAATTCTGTGAAATGTTCAAGTCGAAACACTCGTCTGGTCGATTTCTAATAATATTTACCTGAAGAATTTTCCAAAGAATGTGTAACAGGTAAATTATAACCATGAGTAATTTATAACACAATCAAAAGATTAGTTTGAATTAGGGAACGGGGATGCAAACATGATATCTGGTAACAAAGAATTTTAGTGCATTGGGGATTTAGTATGACATATTCTTTTTAGAAAAAATAAATGTGTGGTTTATCATTTTTGGTCAGCATTACGAAATTTGCTTAATTTAGTAAGTGGGCTCAAGCGTTTCTACAAAAACTTTCTAAACTCGCAGTATTGTATATAATATTGCTTTTTTTTTCTTCTATTAGAAATAAAAAATTCAAGTCTAAATAATCTTTATCCTGATAAACTTATTAAAAGGAGTTTTGAATCGGCCAAATTTTTTACTGGACGTCTTTTGAATACAAATATGGGCTTCAGGAATCGGTTTTAAGTAGACATGTCACGAATAGCATATGAAAGTCAAAAGTTCCTTCATGAGGTTGAATTGGTGACGAGGATAGCCACTGGTGAATCTGAATAGGTTTCGGATTTTAATACTAAAGTGAATTGAACACATGGTTCTATGATGCTTATAGCAATATCCTTGACTTACTGAGACACCTCAAATGTACAGACCCCCCACCATAAATAAGCTCAAGCGATGAAGTAATCAAGGTCCCCAAAAATCGCGAAGGACCTCCGTGTGAGGCCTTTATAGTAATAAATATTTTCTGGTCAATGTAATAAATGAAATAGAAAACACTGTCCAATTTTTTATATATGAAAAATTTGACTCAATAAGTATAAAATAAAATGTATGAAATAAAACAGGGAGAAAAACGTCCTTGCTGGTTCTTCTCAGTACAAGATCTCCCGCTGTAGATTTACGAACCGATGGTATAGCTGTCTACTTTCACAAGTGCTTATAACAGCCTAGACTGAATAAATAATGTTTCATTATAAAAAACTGTCGTAGATTATCGTGGGAATAAAGTAAAAAGCAGAAGCTTGATAGCGCAGGAATTGAAACCTTTGGCGATTGGCGAGTTTGAATCACTTTCAATCATCAATTGGCTGCCAATTAGGTGCCGTTTGATCATTGAAAGATGTTATCTAGTGGTCCTC